ACTTTTGCTTTCCCCTTTCCCTCCTTCCTCTATGATTGTCTCTGGATCTACAGAAGTTACCTTGGTGACTTTCCTGTTGTCTCCTGTCCGGAGCAATACTGGGAGCCCGGGATTCCATCACCTCATGCATGGTGGAGCCATGTCAGAATCCATGGAAGCAGTGTGAACACAGTTTCTCGGCCAGCTGCTGTGGTGTCAGTTCAGAGCATGGGGTGGGCCTGGGAATCAACACATTGAACAGCACTTGCTCCTTATGTCTCCAGTGGAGGGGGTCCTGACGTGGTGTCCATGCTTCCTGACAACTCCTTTCCCCTACAGTCGATATCCTTCATGGCTACCAGGGTCTTGTCAATCAACTGAGGCAGCTGTTGGTCAGTTTCTCTATTTCCATCCTCAGAAACCTACCTGTCTGCCTGGCGCACTTTTATTTATTGAGTAAAAGTTCAGATGTCTGTGGTTGAGCCGTATCTTGTCCATCTTCCTGTTCTGTTGCTCAACTTGGACTCTCATTCTGCAGCAAAGCAGATGAGTTTTCAGGGCTGCCCCTTTCTCCTATAAATGGTGAACTTTGGTAGGTCACTGGCCAAGTGATCTGCACCTCCACACACACACATGCACGCACGCACGCACGCACGCACACAAGAGCCACAAAGGTAGAGTTGTTTGGCTTCAGTGCTGTGTGACCACATTAAATCAGAGACAAAAATGTGTCAGTGGTATGTTCAAGAAAGCCCATTTGCTGGCTATGGTGGCAAACATCTTTAATTCTCGCACTGGGGAGGTAGAGACAGGTGGATCTCTGTGAGTTTAATGCCATCCTGCTCCACACAGGGAGGTCCAGACTAGCCAGGGACACACTGTGAGCCAGTGCCACAATAAATAAATAAATAAATAAATAAATAAATAAATAAATAAACAAACAAACAAACAAACAAATACTCATTTCAGATAGATATACCTCCTTTTGTTTTTATACAATTAACAAACATTTTGAAAACTTTGACAACGTGGTATGAGTTTTTAGTATAGGTAAAATTATGTGCTTATTGTCTGAACTGGCATCTTTAAACAGATTGGTTCAGCTCATCAGGAGCCTTATGAAGGAGTAAATGTGTTACAGATGAAAACCATCATAACCTTTAAGAATGAGGCATGATGACACAGGTCATTTCAAACCCAAGAAGTTGAGGTAAGAGAATCATGGGTTCCAGGCCAGTGAGACCTTGTCCCAAAGGGAATAAACAAAACAAAACAAAACAAAATGTACACACTCTTTTGAATTGACACATAAGAATATGGAGAATCCTAAGCCTCACAGAAAATGCATAGTCCCCAGAAATGACTGCAACACAGACCAACGTGCCAGTGGATTATGTCAACTACTCCTGGAGCTTGCTGCTGTTTCATTAAAGCTGGAGAATCCCTGAACTAGTGCACCCTCCCCACCCCTTATAGATGAAGGAAATGAAGGGGACTGTGTGTAGAGTCCTGTGCACTGTAGCAGGGCCAGTGCTGGAGCTGTCATTCACTGGCTGCTTCTGTATGCTACCTGTTATTTCCTCTTGTCCTCTGGTTTCCTAATTGTGTCTCAGCCTCCCTCAGTGTTTGATGCTGTAGAGCCCTCAGCTTCTCTCTTACATCTCCCTCTGCCTGGCCTTGATAATCCTCTCTTTGCTCAGTGAGAGAATGAGACTGTGTACCAGCACTGCAAGCTACACTTAGCAGGACATCCATAGTTCTAGCTACTGTTTGGGAGGCCTAGACCAGGAGTGTCACCTGAGCTAAAATGTTCAAGCCCAGGCCGGACAGCAGAGTGAGAACCCCTACTTTTCTGTCTCAAAAATTGAAGAAATACATTGTTTACTATTAATTTCTGGCAAATTCAAGAACCTGGTTTTCTTTTCCAGTTTTCTTTCTTTTGTATGTGTCTCTGTGCATAAGCTAATGTGTGTATATGTATTCGTGTGTGTGTGTGTGTGTGTGTGTGTGTGTGTGTGTGTGTGTGTGTG